TTAAACCTGACACACAAGAAGCGAAATTTGAAGTATTTTCTTTTAAACAGCCGCGCACGTTTTTCCCTTTTCAATCAAGCAGATAATTTTGTCGTAGTATGTACTTCGCTTGCTTGGAGTTGGACCATAGTATCACGCTACCTCTCACTCGTTTCTTTTTTACCTTCCCTTTTCTATACGCTTGTCTTAAACAGTCAAATACAAAAAAAAAAGTATTTAAAAAAGACATTTGGAAAACAAAAGAAAAGGAGCCTGAGAAAATAAAGTCAGTTTACTTTATCATCTTCATCTTTATTCATCTTCATCTTTATTCATCTTCAGGAACAGCTTTTTGCATTTTCAAACTACAACAATTTCATTTCAAAAGAAAAAAAGGCGACCATATGTTACCATCTGTGAAGGCCTGACAGCATGAATTATGGCAGCGAATTTCTAATTTCTACCGGGCCTTCACTATGTTTTCGTATTAAGATAATATATCGGACTGTTTGTAGTCTTTTTACCTTCTATGTATAGGTGCGCAGTTATTTACTACTGGGGTAACACGACTCACCCTTTTATAGGTGCACAACAAGTCGCGATATAAACTCTTGATTCTTGGCGTAAACAAAAACGCAAGCGCTACATACAGTCCCGTGAAAGCGGTAAACATTACAAATGGGTATGAAAAACTGCTGTGAATGGGTTGCAAAATACCAAAAATCCATGTGAAGCCCATTAAAATTAATATTTTAAAGAACACTGCCGCAGTTGTGCGATTTTTTGCATGGTATGTTGCTTCTCTCACTTGATGGTTTGTTTTCCAAATAGCTATCACAGTTAAGACAAAGAATACTATGTTGAACAATATGGTGAAAGCTATTGGCAGAACAAACGAGAACAATATCGCAATTGGCTTGTTTATCCAGCAGAAGTTGGTCGAAGTAGCACCGTAACGAAAAGTTAGCGGCTGGGATTGGTGAAATACTGCACACACTGCGACGAAAACCGCAGCGGGAAGCCATCCCACGGCAATTCTTCGCAGTAAAAAATGACGTTTCTCTCTCTTGGTCAGATTTCTACGCTGGATGCTAATTGTGGAAAAAGTCCTCCACGTTTCAAACGCGATAATGGACATCCAGGTGAAGGACACCAGAAAGAAATAGTGCATTAACATAGCGATCACTGCGCATATGAGCTTCGGTGCACCGCTTGCTGCAGCTGCTGACAGGTACAATAAGTCTGCAAACAAACACGCCAATGAGAAATTCATCAAATTGACTCCGGGTAAAGTTCGAAGCTGTTTAAAAAGTGAATAAGTCATCAAGACTAACAGAAAACTGAAACTCGAGACTGAAAGACCAACGTACGTTAATATCTGTAAAGCCACTTTTTTTTGTTTTTTTGTGAAGACAGTTCGGTGCTTTAGTACACTTGAAGAATAATTCACGCAGACTCAAGCCGTTTCGCCTATTAACTGAAATCGTTCAGGAGCTATGACCTCTGCCGATGCGATTCTAGATAAAGAACCTTTTGATGAGACAATATATTCCCCTGTAATTAATCCAATGAAGAACCCAGAACAGTTTATTGTGGGTTGTTTGCAGACTGTAAGGACTCCTGTGGGAATGTAAGACCCATTCGTTAATTTGGTTTTGTAGGAGTAAAAGTCAATTTCTCTATACGTCTCTCCGGTAGCTGTGATGGTTACCACATCTCCATTAACTTTATATTCAGCGGGTTGGAAAATCTTTCTAAGAGGACAATAAAAGTCCGTGATGATTGCTTCATGAATAGCGAAAGTTGTAACATTACATGAAGTAGGAAGAGAGCGGATTGCAGTCTTGAGGCTTTGAAAAGAAAAGCGCCTTAAATCGAGGTTAAAAACTGCTGAAACATATAGGGACTCACAAAAAATATTTCCAATCCTGATGTCAGAAAGGAATGTGTTATTGATGCCCATCTGGTTGGTAATTGTTTGTTTTATGAGGTCCTCAGTTATATTCGATGAAAGCAAAATTTTGATATAAACTTTAACACGAAGGATTCTTTTACCAAAGTCAGACGCATGTATACCAAGGCGATAGCATTGATTACAAATGTCGTACACGTGAACATGCGGGCAAAAGTACCATTTAGAATTGTCGAAGATAGTAGGCATCACATGTATCCTCCATTTCCTTCTAGAGATATTGAATATGCTTTTATTTGCTGGTGAAAGACTGATGTTTAAGCAATCTCTTTCGTCTCCTGCAATAGAACGAAGACTTTGTCTGTAATACAGAGAGTCAAGGGACTTAAGTGTAGTGATAAAATATCTTATATTATGCATGCCAATGGAAATATCTACGATGTTAGCGATGTTTTTCGACGCTTGTTGGTTAAAATTCAAGGCGCAAAACACAAATAATCATGTTAAAGCTTGATATTAAAAAAAGAATTAACAATTGAGCATGATGTCATGATGTCATCATGCTATCATAATCAAATGTAAATGTTTCTGAGGCTTGTCTTTACTTCGATGAATAACTACAATTAGGCATTTTCCCACTAAATATCACACCAAATTTTTTTCAGATGCATTAGAAAACGTAGAAATTATCGGTGGCAGAATCGTTTATCTGCAACCTTAAGAGTTTTCTCAAGAAAGGTTTTTCTAATTTTCATCGGACAATCGAGTCAAACGAGAAGACTCCTCGGTAGATTTTAGATTTCCGTTGTTAATGATAGAAGAGAGTTTTTCGTAGTCTTATAACATCTAAAACAGACTGACGAATGACTTTTTTTAATTTTTAATTTATTAGATTCGCCGACAGGCAGGGACACCGCAACAGCTTGCGCCAATTACTGCGGGCCCAGTAAACCCACACATCCCACCCCAGGGGAAGGACATCTACCACACAGTAA